GAGACAACCATTCTTGTAATATTAAGACTCTTCAAATCATGCATGGGGCCTTATTTTTGAAGATCTAATTACAATGGTGTTAATAACGAAGGCCATGGGGAAATGTATAAAAATCCCCGCTCCCACTCAATTTTTAATCATTCATAATTAGGGTTTTCATTTTATTCATTTACATGATATAATGCATGCAAAACGTCTTGATTTTAATCTAATTAAATTTAGAAAATAATTGGACTTTTAAATGATTCACTAATATTTAATTGGAGGCACACTTTAAAAATAATTTTCAAAAATAATTTTTCGTTTTCCAATAAGTGCCCTCAAATTAATTAGTAATCAGATCTATTTAATTTTCATAATTTAATTAATATAAATCAAGTCATTTAATTAAATATCATGGATCCAATGCATGAATAATAATTAATCAACAATTATCTATTACATGCATCACATACATCAATAAATGACAGATAAAACAAATAAAAACGGCCAATGGAATCAGCTTTTAACATTTAATTGCTCTAATAACTGCACCAGGGTCTTCCATCAGCTTGTAAACACCCGCAGGAGACTTGTACGCGTTAGGAGAAGCAAAACGCCGCTTGGAACGCGCCCGGAGGACCCCACACGCGCTCGCACGCGCCTGGAGTAGGTTGCAAGGCAAAACACGCGCCTCCACGCGCGTGGGGACAAATTTCCTTGGTCCGGCGCATGACGTTCACGCGCCGGAATGTTGACCATGCCTGGCGAGTGTAACTCACGCGCCAGCATGCCTTTTCTTGCTGCCACTTCTGGCGCGTGTTCCTCACGCGCCAGATTTATTATTTTTATTTTTATTTTTATTTTCTCTTTGACTTGGTCAACAGTAAAAGATCAGGTTGCATGGTATGGCTGTGTGCCGCATCACACCTGATCCATTGTCATCTTCCGGCAGTACCTTTTGCCGTCGGCGAGCCTCCGGTCACCGGAAAAGTGCCGAAAAATACCAGAAATTAAATAAAAAATTCCAGAAATTAAATCAGGCATTAAAAATTCCAGAAAAATTCTGAAAAATTTCAGAAAAATTCCAGAAAATTCCTGAACCCTAATTTAACCCTCTTGGACCTTCTTGAAGCTTCATATCATCCTTTGATGAAAATTACATGGTTTTAAAAATATTTACAATTTGAAATACAGTGGAAAAAATTAAATTATATCATTGAACTTTCAAACGGCTAAATCAAAGTCTTAATTACATTCATCCAAAGATAAAATTACATTAAATTAACTTATAAGCTTCATCCATGGTTCAAACATACATTATCATTCATTCACAATTATACATACATCATGATCATATAATAATATAAACATATGCATATATAAATTTGGATCCATGAATGATGGTTTCATAAAATCATGATCTCTAGTAATGAATCGAACCATGCTCTGATACCACTGTTGGGAAACGTGCAAGTTTTAAAAAAATTTCGAGTGATTTTCTTTCACAAATCTTGATCATCACATAGAGACAAGTTTTATGCAAAAATAAAATATGATGAATCATTCAATTAATGGATTGAATACTTACATCAAAGGTCTGAGTAAACCTTTAAATCCTTCATCTAAAGTGAATGTTCTCACTTATTGTAGATCCCTTAGCAAGATGCCTTCTCCTTGGATCTCCATCTTCTTGGTAATTGTTATGCCTTTAGGAGTCACTCATAAGCCTCCATGAATGACCTTGGAAAAATAGACTTGTGGGAGCCTCCATTAGATGAGAACATTAACCCTAATTTTTTAGAGAGAGAAAATTTATTCCTTTTTTTCTTCTTCTAAAAATCACCATCAAAATATACATAGACCATGTATATTTATAGGCAAAATAAAGGTAAAAAAAAGGAAACAACGAATCCTTTTCAATCTCTAATTTACATGTCTCAAATCTAATATGATTCCAATATCAAGTTGGGCTATGAGTGAGAATCCATTGGGCCTATTATTTTATTGGCTACAATGAATTAATAATTGACCCGGTCCATGGACCCAATTCAATTAATTCATAAATTAATTTCTACTCCACTAAAAGAAATTAATTGAACTCCAATTAAATAATAAATAACTTCTAAGTCAATATTGCACTTTGACCCCTCTATGCATCAATTCGACTACTTAATTAATATATTTATTTTGGTACCATTGATTATTTCTGGCTCGATCACAATAAAACATTTGTTTGACAAAAATAATAATTTAATAAATAAATATATAATAAATCATTTTGTCTAAAACCACTCGAAGGCCTTCGAATTTACTTTGTGATCAACCATAATCAATACAAAATAAATACAAGTAGCAATGATGCAAATATTGAAAATATAATCCTCTAACTATTAATCACATAACTACTCAAAGTATCGGTCTAAGGATCTGAAGAATCCGCTGAACAAATCAAAGTAATTATTAATTAATAAAAGAGTTTATAATTTTCTCATGCTTAAGAGTCAAATGCCATGACGATGATAGGGAGCAATTGCATACGACGGCTCTCGCAATATATCTCAACCTAACGCGGATCCAGTTCAAGTCTTAATTAATTATGAGTCCATCCATAATTACCGACTATGAACAATTTATAATTACTATTTATATATTATGCATTGATTGCCATCACTTACATATATATATAAATATTTCTTGTAATCACAGGGACACTATCAATTTTATAGTGAATCGAAATATAATACATTGAATTCACTAATTATATAAATCATAAATATTTCAGATATGTCAGGAACATATGTCATTATAATCCAGATAGGAATTTGCTATGCCAGGGCATATAAATCCCAACAATTAGAATGTGCATTTAGAGTAGTAAAAGGTCATTATACACCCGAGTGATCAGTACGTACTCCACTTATATATATGTGTGTGTGTGTGTGTGTGTGTGTGTGTGTAAAACACACATAAAGGAGCTAATGCTATAAGCCTGTCAATCTCAAAATTAAATAGTACAGTGTGGGTAGAAACAAGTCTAGGATTCAAGCTCTTACAACATAATCTATCGTGAATTTTATATCTCTTTTCTTCACATCAAATAATATTCCTGCTCCATCACATATGAATTTCATTGTCAGGAAGGAAAAAAATAAAAAAATAAAAATTAAAAAAAAAAAAAAAATCAATCTTTCACTGGCTTATATTAAGTTCATGAAGAGTTTGCTTCTGCTAAAATGTGTGCATGTTAAAGACTTCTTTTCCAAGAAAATTTTAACTGTGCATTAGCATAGTATAGATGAAAAGACAGATAGAAGAGTCCCACAACACCAGCAACAAATACATATATCAAGTTTTCAAGAACTAACAAATAACAGTTCCCATCAACCAATCTTTTTAATCCTGGATGGCTACTGGCTGTACTTGCATTTGTAACTTAAAATAGAAGTCCTAATTAAACTCGAACATAACACCTAACAGGTGGTCACAAGAACAAAAGTTACATGAATTGTCCATACAGAAAGTCGTAAATCGATTTTTCAGTTGCTTCTATGCTTGCATCAAATCCTCTGGAACACATAGGACAGCATTAACATTGAGGTAGTGGTAGCATTGAGTGATATGGGGAGAGTATTCCTATAAGAGTGTTAAGATGGAGGACGACATGGCTAAGGAAGGTCAAGGAAGTGGAGTATAGGTGGCTGTTTTAGCACTTCTGGCTTGGCAGGAGACAACTCAGGCTCTAGAAAAGCTAGGACATAGAGCAGTGGTGGCAGCTCAGGCTGCAGTACTGTTGGGATTCTTGGGACATGGGGAATTAGTGGAAATTATGTGCCTCGGGCAAGGTTACTCCACAAAATGGCTTGCCTCTACCTAGATTCTATTGCAGGATGAACAACAGCGGAAAAGAGGGGGTGAATGGTGGTGATAGGCCATTGTTGGAGAAGACAAGTGAGCCTCGGGATTTAACCAAAAGGGGTTTGAAGCTTGATTGAGCATGCTTGGGTTTTCATTTATATGATTTTGTATTGATTAGGGACAAAGGGAAAAACTTTCAGAATAAGCTATTCTTCTCTTTAGGCAATTCAGAAAAATCTATTCAAATTCACATTTTTTTATTAAAATGGGGACAAGAATAAAATGATTTTTTTTTATCATTTCTAACAAAGGTGTATTCACAGCTTAAAAGATGTAAGTATCATAGGGAGTATGATTTTTCTGAATTGTTAGTGTTCACAACAAAAAGTCAACACTAACAAGATAAGGTATAAATATCAAATAGGTGAGTAGTTTTGAAGTTTAGGAGCTTTTGTCATGTTTGAAAATCCATTTTTTTCCAGCCAAGGGAATATGATTTTCACACCATTGGTGAATTCTGGTCCTGCATATTATTAGAGAGAACTGTTTGTTTCTGCTAACTTAAATTTGGATCTTTGATAGATTCACAAGAGTGAAACTAGATTGTTAGTCCTTTTGCTTATACTTGTAACACATTTCCCCTGCTTGCATTTCTAGTTGTGCACATTTTATGGCTTGTCATCCCATTCCTGGTAAATGTTAAATATATATATTATTTTTCGGGAAATAAATGTTCGTGTAACAGGAAATTTATTCTTTTTTTAGGGCGTTGATTTGCATAAATGTGATCTATGGCTCAATCATCCAAATTTTCCAATTAGACAAATTGCGGGAAATTTTAGTTGCCAACTATGCCCCATTCTTGAAGGATTGAATAACCTACCAGTTTGAAGACTTGAAGTCAAGATTACCAGTTAACACCTCCAACAAATCCTACATGGCAAAACAGACAGCAAAGATATTATGATGAAGATTACATTAAATAGATTATTGTAGAAGTGATATGGATGAGAAGTTGAACTAACAATACACAACTCTTCCCACCAACCAAACCTCCTCATCATCTCTTTAAACCCTTACATATGGAAACCTATGCATGTTCAATCAAGCTTGAAACCCTTTGCTTGAATCTTGCGGAACTTGTCATCTGATCTGCTCCAACGATGGCTCTTCATCAGCATATACCATTTCTCTTTCTGCTTTCATTTGTCACTTTGTTAACGATGAATGGAAACACAATGCAGGGTGAGGCGCGACACCTTATGGAGATAACCTTGCCTGAGTTTCAAAAGCCTGAATTGCCACCGCTTCCTCATGTTCCAACACTACCAAAACCTGAGCTGCCACCATTGCCCGAGCTTCCTAAGCCTGAATTGCCTCAAGTCCCGACTTTGCCAAAGCCTGAGTTTCCGACTCTGCCAAAGCCAGAAGTCCCAAAACTGCCTGAAATCCCGGCTTTACCCCATCTTGCTGGCCTGCCTAAGCCCACAATCCCAACCATTCCAACCCTGCCAAAGGACTTGCACATTCCTTAATTTCCTCTGCCCTCATCACTCAACCACTACTCCTTGAATCATGTTTTCATGATAGGAGACTATTATTTCATTTCATATAAACATTTTTATAGGTTTGGTATTTGATAATGTTTGATGTGTGCATGTATGGGATGAGCCGGTACTTGTTCTGCTAGTTTCTTCCAGCTAGGGGAGATGGTTCGTCTACTCATTACGCTTGTCTGTTACTTGTACTTTCCCATATATCTTTATTACATATAGACATCAATATTTGAGTTTGCTTGTTTAAATGTTGCTTTCTATTTCAGTTGCTTTTGCCATTCTAAGCGGTTCTTAAAAATTACAGAATGCAAAAACATTTTTTCTTACACTTTACAGAAGCACTTTGCTGAGTGCAAGATGATAAGAAAAGATATATGGTCTACTCTTATCAAGTTTTAATTTTCCAACTAAATATGTAAAATTTTCTCACAATAGTACAAATGCTAGTTTCGTGTAAAATGAGAATATACCGCATCCTGCCAACAACATATGGGTAAAAAAGACTATCACAGTAGCTATAAACTTAATTGAAATCATAGTAACCACTAACCAAATCATGGATTCAAATATTTCTATATTTAAATATAAACTTAGAATTTGAAAAAAAATTCCAAATTTGAATATTTAAATATAAACTTAGAATTTGAAAAAAAAATTCAAATTTGAATAAGTACATATGACATAATCATTGTTGGGGGCATCCTTGGAAAAAGATTTTTCGAAAATCTATTACTTTCATAAAATGCTACTATCTTTAGTATTTTTAATTTTTTTGGTTAAGAATTCATTTCACATACACTTTTTGAACACATGTCCAACACTTTATATGTAAGTGTGTGATCCACATAATATAAAATTTTAGGTTACACTACTTATTAAACATTACAAAATTCCAATAAATTCTAAAAAAAAAAAAAGATACTTAAAAAATATCTATATACATACTTCTCTACATCTCCACACAATTATAGAGACTTCAAAACTAGTACACTCAAAGTTTGAAATGCACATGCCATTCAATTTCCAATAAGCACTTGTGGTTTATGCATGGCTAACATTCATTTTAAATACGGAAAAATTACATGAAAGTCCTACTTTCATTTTATAGAAGCATCTATAAAATATCACATTTGATTTTAGAAAGTGTAAGTAGGACTTATTTGTCATTCTCCCTTGAATTAATCAAAGTGGGGGGCATTATGGTTTCATTGAGAGGCATGTATTAGGCAATCCAAAGCTATTATATTACATTTGATTGAGTCAACAAAAACATAGATATTCACCAATTTAACTTGGCTAGGTGAACTTGCAACCTCATCAGAGACACTCAGAGGTATATCTCTGCTTCTTACTGCGCCAAGTAGCCAAGTTGCCACCATCAGTTCAAGGGTTCCATTTGCAATTGTGGGCATTTCTATCCCACTCCGTTTTACGGTTAAACAACCTATCAGTTTGTATGTAGTTCTATTGCATGGAAGCTAAAGTTAAGGTTAAAACTCATAAGTTACTCTCCATTGAAACTTATCCACAGTGGTGTAGCAGAAGCATATATATTTAACATTTGAAGATATTTTCCAAGTAGCACATGACTAAATTTGAAGATACTGTGGAAATTTTTTCCAGACTACCTTTTTAATCTAGATGTTCATCTCTATATAGTCATATGAATGAAAATACTTTCATGTTCAATAGAAGTTAAAAAAAAAAAAAAAAAAAACCTTTTTTTAGATAGCATGGAGCACTTGTAATCGCTCCAAGCGTCTAACAATGGCTCATTACCACCATCTGACCTTTCGTCTTCCTCTGTAACTTATAAGTCTGTTATCTATGGGTTAACACAATCGAGGTAAAGGCAAACCATCTTTTATAGATGACCTTGCTTGAGCTTCCTAAGCCTGTGTGGCAAACTTGTGGGCAGGTACGAGACACTGGCAGGCTACCACACTGGGTGAGTTACAGTTGCACAATCCTACGTTGCCTTGGTAAGAGAAAGGTGAAGTACTTATATGTGGTGGTGTTATCTCCAATTGGTATGAGGTCTTTTGGAGTAAAACCTGAGCGCGGACAATATCATATATACCATGTGGTAGAGTGGGTCGTTGTCACCGCTTTCCCATCGCCAAGGCATGTAACTTAGTATATCTTGGGCACCTCCTAAAAAGTGAATGTTGGGCTTGCATTTTATGCATATGGTTAGTTTTATTTTAAATAAAATGCCTTTCAATGTTCCAGGTATGCAAATAGTTAGTTTTATTTTAAATAAAATGTCTTTCAATGTTCCAGGTATATAAAATGTTTTAAAAGCAAATTACCGTCTAGTAGCTTTTCTGTTTCTCTATATATGATCCAAAATTTGTGTCATTGAACACAATCCTGCTTAATTTACTGTTTTGTGGATGCCAGATGGACTACATTAGTTACATAGAGATTAGAGAGTCAAGTAGTGCTGATCAATAAATGATACCTCCTTTACAATAATCAATCAACAATGCATTAGCAAACTTTCTCTTATTAGTCGTGTGATACCCCCGAATTTCCGAATGTGGGTTGGCCAGGCCCACGCCCGAATACCCGAGGATATCAAAACAAATTGATAATAAACGAACACAAAGTACAAAAGAATAAAGAAGAATAAATAAAATGCTGACAAGAAACTAAAATGATAATCTAATAATAAACCTCATAATATATTTCCATTAATTAATAAACTCTTCTGATAAAACTGATCCTCCAAAATACAACTCGGGAATCCATACTGTGTGGACCCCTAGAAAATCCAAACTAAACAAATGACAGTATTCTAAAACAGGAAACTGAATCATAAAGGAACTCCTATGTAGCATCGGAAGAATGAAGTAGATTGATCCCCGCTCAGCACGAACAACCTCTACTCGTGACGAACACCTGAAAAACAATGGTGGGTCAGGCCCACAAACAAGTTCTACTCTACTACAGTCCAAGCAGAGATCCGATACACGTATACATCCTAGTCAATCCAACAGTAACTAGTAGTCCGTATATATATATATACACACTAAAGGAACCTCACTAGACTATAGGGTTGTCTCAACCTGAATAGTAGGCAACATGCAAAACGCACATATAATGGGCATGAGTACCTAGACCTACCAGGGTACACAACTACACTATATCTAGCTACACATCCCTGGCGATATACGCACCCTAACCACTGATCCTGAGACTCAAGCTCATATCATGGCACCATACTTATATATATATATAATCTAGTGACCATCCTATCCAGTATAAATTAATCCTCCATAAGTCATTCAACTTGTTCAGCTGACCTGACTTGAATATAAGTAGGACTTAATATTTTAGTTAATCCATTCCCTTATATAATAAATTAATCCTCTATAAGTCATTCAACTTGTTCAGCTGACCTGACTTGAATATAAGTAGGACTTAACATTTTAGTTAATCCATTCCCTTATATAAAATCGGTAGGACTTAACTGATAAGTTAATCCGTCCCTAGAATGCCACCGTCCCATACCGGTGCATTAAACCACACAATCCAACAATTGATGTAATAATTAAAGAAATACATCAAACCTTCCAGAAATAACTATGATAATATGATATCAAGTTATCACAGAATATGAATGACTTATTATTTATTTAAGCTCATAAATCATATGTCCTACACAAACTGAATCTTATACATGATGATATTTTATTATATCGTCAAATAAGCATTCTCCATATTCAATTCATCCTACACATTTATTCTCAATTGCTAAAGCATTTTAAAAGATTAAATCCATTCGTTTGTGTAAACATTTAAATAGCAAGCATCGTTATGATTGAGTGTATTTAAATTTATTTAAACCCAAACCTAGTCCCTATTTAATGTTCAGGAATCCTAGGCATGTTTCTACGTTCCATCATTCCACATATATGAAAAATACATAATTCAAACATATAAAAATTCACACCAGAAATCAAATCAAAATCATGCATTTTTTAATTTATAACACAAGAACAGATATGACCCAATTTCACAAAAACCTATACTTTAATCCAATTAAACATGCATAATTATTTAATTTTATGTGTTTAGTAAATCCTGGAATTTCCTAGGCATGTACAGAAACACGAATCAAAGGGAAAGAGATAGAAGAAGAACTTGCCTTAAACTTTCGGATTGAAAGTTAAACTTCTTCTTCCTTGATCTTCTCTCTAAAGGGTTTTCTCCTCCTTCCTCCCTCTTTCTCCTTCTCTCTCTAACTCTCTCTCTAGAATATATTACGTGATATATTTTCACTCCTTTTTCAACCTATAGTTGTGTATTTATAGGCTAAATAATAACCCTATTCCTTTTCCCAATCCAAGTCAACTTAATAAAAAAAAAATAAAAAAAAAATATTAAAAAGGTAACTTAAAATATGTTACGTATATAATCTATGTATATCCTTATTAATTAAATAAAATATATACATTAGATTATTTAGTAATACTAAAGTTACCATAATATTAAAAGGTAACTTAAAACATGTTAAGTATATAATCTATCTGTATTCTCATTAAATAAATAAAATATATACATCAGATTATTTATTTATACTAAAGTTACCATAATATTAAAAAGGTAACTTAAAACATGTTACGTATAAAATATATGTATATCCTTATTATATAAATATATAAAATATATACATCAGATTATTTATTAATACTAAAGTTACTATAATATTAATAAATTACTTTCCTTTTTATATATATGTATATACATATATATCTATATATATACATATACAACTATCCATGGATAATTATCCATACCCATCCAACCTCCTATCCAAGCAGTCCATGGGATCCAATTGGTTGGCCAATTACCACTAACCATAACCATAAAAGAAAAATAAAATAAAATAATAAAAGAAATGAAAACATTTAATTTACAATTAATTAACATTAATCAAATACATCATTTAAGCACACAATCTAATTAAACAAATAATACAAATAACACCTAGACAGAATACAAATAACACATAGATAAGTAGCCAATTAATCAAGTAACACTTAATTCAATTAAACACATAAACAATTAGTCAAATAATCAATTAAACAAATAAAAAAAATAAAAAAAATATAATAAAAATAAATAAATAAATACCGAGACTATCCTTTTAAAATTAGGGGTATTACATTGTTATTTGATACGACCTACACATTGTATGATTATTGTGTTTCTTAAAATATAGGAACTCTGTATACCACTGGGTATATTAGAGTTTTTCTATCAGGGAGTAGTTTGCTCGTTCTGTTTTCTATGTAGGAAGAAAGACGATTTTTGGAGAAATGTCAATTTTACTTATTACATCGACTTTTACACGATTGTGTTTCGCAATTGAGGCAGTCACCTCTGAATTATCGTTACCAAATTATTAGCGCTGGGTGCATAGGAGTTTGTGCGTATATTCTATGGCACTTGGAGGTATGTAGATCATTCCCTTGTCGACATAGGAGGATTACGTTGTTATTTGATACGACCTACACATTGTATGATTATTGTGTTTCTTAAAATATAGGAACTCTGTATACCACTGGGTATATTAGAGTTAAGTGGAGCCCTTATAGTGAGGTTGCGTCTATTTGGGAATATGATGATGTTTTTCGCTCACAGTTTCCAAGCATAATAGAAGAAAGTAAGGGCGAATTCCGAGGACGGAATTCCTTTTATTAGGGGGGAAGAATGTAATACCCCTAATTTTAAAAGGATAGTCTCGGTATTTATTTATTTATTTTTATTATATTTTTATTTATTTATTTTTATTTGTTTAATTGATTATTTGACTAATTGTTTATGTGTTTAATTGAATTAAGTGTTACTTGATTAATTGGCTACTTATCTATGTGTTATTTGTATTCTGTCTAGGTGTTATTTGTATTATTTGTTTAATTAGATTGTGTGCTTAAATGATGTATTTGATTAATGTTAATTAATTGTAAATTAAATGTTTTCATTTCTTTTATTATTTTATTTTATTTTTCTTTTATGGTTATGGTTAGTGGTAATTGGCCAACCAATTGGATCCCATGGACTGCTTGGATAGGAGGTTGGATGGGTATGGATAATTATCCATGGATAGTTGTATATGTATATATATAGATATATATGTATATACATATATATAAAAAGGAAAGTAATTTATTAATATTATAGTAACTTTAGTATTAATAAATAATCTGATGTATATATTTTATATATTTATATAATAAGGATATACATATATTTTATACGTAACATGTTTTAAGTTACCTTTTTAATATTATGGTAACTTTAGTATAAATAAATAATCTGATGTATATATTTTATTTATTTAATGAGAATACAGATAGATTATATACTTAACATGTTTTAAGTTACCTTTTAATATTATGGTAACTTTAGTATTACTAAATAATCTAATGTATATATTTTATTTAATTAATAAGGATATACATAGATTATATACGTAACATATTTTAAGTTACCTTTTTAATATTTTTTTTTTATTTTTTTTTTATTAAGTTGACTTGGATTGGGAAAAGGAATAGGGTTATTATTTAGCCTATAAATACACAACTATAGGTTGAAAAAGGAGTGAAAATATATCACGTAATATATTCTAGAGAGAGAGTTAGAGAGAGAAGGAGAAAGAGGGAGGAAGGAGGAGAAAACCCTTTAGAGAGAAGATCAAGGAAGAAGAAGTTTAACTTTCAATCCGAAAGTTTAAGGCAAGTTCTTCTTCTATCTCTTTCCCTTTGATTCGTGTTTCTGTACATGCCTAGGAAATTCCAGGATTTACTAAACACATAAAATTAAATAATTATGCATGTTTAATTGGATTAAAGTATAGGTTTTTGTGAAATTGGGTCATATCTGTTCTTGTGTTATAAATTAAAAAATGCATGATTTTGATTTGATTTCTGGTGTGAATTTTTATATGTTTGAATTATGTATTTTTCATATATGTGGAATGATGGAACGTAGAAACATGCCTAGGATTCCTGAACATTAAATAGGGACTAGGTTTGGGTTTAAATAAATTTAAATACACTCAATCATAACGATGCTTGCTATTTAAATGTTTACACAAACGAATGGATTTAATCTTTTAAAATGCTTTAGCAATTGAGAATAAATGTGTAGGATGAATTGAATATGGAGAATGCTTATTTGACGATATAATAAAATATCATCATGTATAAGATTCAGTTTGTGTAGGACATATGATTTATGAGCTTAAATAAATAATAAGTCATTCATATTCTGTGATAACTTGATATCATATTATCATAGTTATTTCTGGAAGGTTTGATGTATTTCTTTAATTATTACATCAATTGTTGGATTGTGTGGTTTAATGCACCGGTATGGGACGGTGGCATTCTAGGGACGGATTAACTTATCAGTTAAGTCCTACCGATTTTATATAAGGGAATGGATTAACTAAAATGTTAAGTCCTACTTATATTCAAGTCAGGTCAGCTGAACAAGTTGAATGACTTATAGAGAATTAATTTATTATATAAGGGAATGGATTAACTAAAATATTAAGTCCTACTTATATTCAAGTCAGGTCAGCTGAACAAGTTGAATGACTTATGGAGGATTAATTTATACTGGATAGGATGGTCACTAGATTATATATATATAAGTATGGTGCCATGATATGAGCTTGAGTCTCAGGATCAGTGGTTAGGGTGCGTATATCGCCAGGGATGTGTAGCTAGATATAGTGTAGTTGTGTACCCTGGTAGGTCTAGGTACTCATGCCCATTATATGTGCGTTTTGCATGTTGCCTACTATTCAGGTTGAGATAACCCTATAGTCTAGTGAGGTTCCTTTAGTGTGTATATATATATATACGGACTACTAGTTACTGTTGGATTGACTAGGATGTATACGTGTATCGGATCTCTGCTTGGACTGTAGTAGAGTAGAACTTGTTTGTGGGCCTGACCCACCATTGTTTTTCAGGTGTTCGTCACGAGTAGAGGTTGTTCGTGCTGAGCGGGGATCAATCTACTTCATTCTTCCGATGCTACATAGGAGTTCCTTTATGATTCAGTTTCCTGTTTTAGAATACTGTCATTTGTTTAGTTTGGATTTTCTTGGGGTCCACACAGTATGGATTCCCGAGTTGTATTTTGGAGGATCAATTTTATCAGAAGAGTTTATTAATTAATGGAAATATATTATGAGGTTTATTATTAGATTATCATTTTAGTTTCTTGTCAGCATTTTATTTATTCTTCTTTATTCTTTTGTACTCTGTGTTCGTTTATTATCAATTTGTTTTGATATCCTCGGGTATTCGGGCGTGGGCCTGGCCAACCCACATTCGGAAATTCGGGGGTATCACAAGTCGAGACGGCAAGATCTCTCCTAAATGGTTTTAGTCCCGTTAGGGACAATATGGATTTTAGCCTTGTTAAAGATAATATTGTGAATGTGTGTGCGAACTTTTGTAAAAAAATAAAAATAAAAAAATAAAAATAGTGAAGTGTGGAATTAACTTGCATGAGTTGTTACAAAAAAATTATGATTTTCCTTTAACTTTTTGGAAATCCTACTATGTTTTATATTTGTTTCAAAAAATACAGCTTTTGTTTTCTTTAAAAGGAATTTTGATGGAAATACTTGTTTTACCATCAATGATTCTAAGAGTGGTACACTTTGCCAATAACATTCTGATGTTCAAGTAATTTTAGAAGAAGGAGAAAAAAAGAAAAATTACTACAGAACAAATTGTTGTAGGACTGAATAACCAGTTTGAATGTAAATTGCTGAAGAATTGAAGTCAAGATTACCGGCTAACACCTCCAACTAATCCAACAAGACAAAAACAGATAACAAAGATATTATTAAGAAGATGACAGTATATAAATTATTGATAATTGTGGATGTGATATGGATGAGAAGTTTGAACTAACAACACGTAACCCTTCCCACCAACCAAACCTTCTCATCATCTATTTAAACCCTTAGATATGGAAACCTATGAATGCTCAATCAAGCTTAAAACCCTTTGCTTGAATCTTGAGGCACTTCTCATCTGCTCCAACAATGGCTCTTCAACATCTATCCTTTCTCTTTATGCTGTCATTTGTCACTTTGTTCTCGATGAATGGCAACACAATGCAGGGTGAGGCGCGACACCTTTTGGAGGTAACCTTGCCAGAGCTTCCTAAGCCTGAATTGCCATCGATTCCTCTTGTTCCAACGCTACCAAAACCTGAGCTGCCACCAATATTGCCTGAGCTTCCTAAGCCTGAATTGCCAAAGCCTGAGCTACCACCAATATTGCCTGAGCTTCCTAAGCCTGAATTGCCAAAGCCTGAGCTACCACCATTGCCTCATGTCCCGACTTTGCCAGAGCCTGTGTTGCCGACTCTACCAAAGCCAGAAGTCCCAAAACTTCCTGAAATCCCGGCTTTACCCCATCTTCCTGACCTTCCTAAGTCCACAATCCCAACCATTCCAACCCTGCCCAAGGACTTGCACTTCCCTTAATTTCCTCTCCCCACCTCACTCAACCACTACTCCTTGAATCATGTTGCTTTTCATATATGATACGAGATTGTTATTCCATTTCATAGTATGTATGAGATGAGCAAATACTTGTTCTCTTAGTTTCTTCCAGCTAGGGTACATGGTTCATCTACTTATTATGTTTGTGTGTTGCTTGTACTTTCCTTTTATGTTTGTATTATAATCTATATATATGGAGTTCATTTGTGTTTTCTTGTTTAAATGTTGCTTTCTATTTCAGTTGCTATTGCTATCCCAAATGGTTCTTAGAAATCAAAGAATTAAATATATATATATATATATATATATATATATACATAAACACTTCTGATTGCAAGATGATGAGAAAAGATAGAGAGTCATAGATAAAACATGATCTGTATTAGTTCTCGTTACATGGGAAAAGGCAAAATCAGTATGAAGTCAGAGAAAAGAACAAGGAATATGAATAACTCGCGACTCCTATATTCAAATTATAATCAAACAAGAAAAACACTTGCAGAGTGCAAGGGAGAGAAATTAGAAGAAAAGATAAAATCAGATACTAGGAATAAAAAGAAAATTGCAATGACATTAGAATGTGCATTCAGAGTAATAAAAGGTCATTGTATTGTACTGTTCTTGTACACGAGCCGATCACTATATACTCTGCTTCTATACATATGAAATGTAAAACAACCATAAGGTAGCTAATGCCATAAGCCTGTGTAAGTCTCAAAATTAAATAGTAAGTGAGTAGAAACTACTCTAGGTTTCAAGCTCTTACAACTGAATCTGTTATTTATCTTTCCTTCACAAAAGGGCATTGAATCCAAGCTTGTATCATAACATATTCCTGCTCCATCACATATAAATTTCAATGCAAAAAAAAAAAGAAAAAAAAAAAAAAAAAAAAAAAACTTTCACCGGCATATATCAAGTACGTCTAACATTAGCATACTTGCTATTTTTCCATAGTATAGATGAAAAGACTGATAAAAAGATTGGTCCCCGGATGTATATCAAGCTCTCAAACCCTTCATCACATGTGATCCCGTCTTCCTCGTGGACAAAAAGGTGCAAATTTGCAGAGTAAAGGAGAAATTAGATGCAGATTAACCCAAGACCTCTCAGAACATGAGATCCCATACCATGTTTGTCTATCAATTGCCTCGGAAGCTTAAACCATCATAAAAGTAGAATATACATATGTTGTTACACCCTGAACCTTGTTTTGCAAGTTTCACCAAAGTTGAGGGCTGATTAAAAATCATAAACAATATCTTCTAATACAAATTGTACTGTTCAGTCCCAAGTTAAAACAAACTGTCCAGTCCAACAATTTTTAACAGACTGTCCATAACAACATTTCTGACTTTAAATTTTAATATGCCAATCACAAGTTTATGCTGTCTTATAAGTTAAATTATTATTATTTTTTTTTACAAGACAAAAAAGATTAGAAGTTAGATTAGTAGGTGTAAAGAGTCGAAACTTGAAACTCCCAAAATTCACCGGAGGCACTAATCACTGGACTATCGAAGTATCTGCTATAAGTTAAATTATTACTTTCGTATAGAACACGCATTTAGACTTTATTTACCAAAAAAAAAAAAAAAAATCATGCATCCAGAATTTGTGTTCCAGAGGATTTAATGGATGCACACATTAATTGAAGGTAATGAAAATTTGGAGATTTTGGTGAATTTGTAGGTTCCACCGGCGAGGCCAAAAGGCAATCTTTATCAATAACAGAGCAAAACAATTTATGCAAAGCTTGTTTCTTGTTTTTATTTGGCATTACACCAAAATTTGTAGCCAATTAATCCATGTTTGGCATTAACTTTATGTGATAATCCGGATTTTTAAGATTTTAATTAATTTTATTATTTTTAATTGTTACAATTAAATATTTAATTATGATTGAAGGCTTATCGATTGTGGACAGTTTATTTGATTTGGTTATTATGCAATTGTATATATATATATATATATATATATATATATATTGTGCAAATGTGATGCAAAGGAATTGCACTGCGAGACGAAATTAGAAGAAAAGAATGGAAAATTGATTTTTGGCGGGTCCCATGACTTGATTTAGTTTTGTTACTTTTATCTATCTATATATATATATATATATATATATATACACACACACTGTTAGGTGATGATAAGGAGATAAGGAAGAAAATGTTGGTCTGAAAAAAAAAAAAAAAAAAAAAAAAAAAAAAAAAAAAAAAAAAACTGCCAGCCGATTTAGAGGGATGAAGGTGAGAGATGAAAAGTTGATAACTTGATATTTTGATGGATAGTGGCAAGGCCCACAGCCTTTTGGCACATCACCTTTTTGACTTTGATACTGCACATAGTTTTGTATTGTGTAAGCAGATACGTAAAGATAAATGTGCGGTGAGAGTTGTTCTGTCGGTGGACAATTGCCTATATAGTAATTGAGGTACAATGATACAGTGAAACATTGAGGCCAGAGAGAGAGAGAGAGAGAGAGAGAGAGAGTTAGAGATATAGAGAAGGAAAGAAAAATTTAAGGACAGACGGAGCAGACAGCTGAGAGTCGGCACAGGGGCTGGACTTAAGCAGATACGTAAAGATAAATGTGCGGTGAGAGTTGTTCTGTCGGTAGACAATTGCCTATATAGTAATTGAGGTACAATGATACAGTGAAACATTGAGGCCAGAGAGAGAGAGAGAGAGAGAGAGAGAGAGAGTTAGAGATATAGAGAAGGAAAGAAAAATTTAAGGACAGACGGAGCAGACAGCTGAGAGTCGGCACAGGGGCTGGACTTGAGGCTTTGATATTTTAATGCTTTATTTCTTTTCCGGTCGATTTTGACTTTGCCATTGAAGGCAACTCGAGGAGCGCATCGCGATTTACTTTTTGATCAGAGCAAAGTCCTGTTTGGCCACCATAGAATTTTGAAATTTTGGGCCTATTTTGAGACTTTTCTTCAAGTAAGAGATAGGGATTTCTAATTCACATTTTTCTTAGATTTTTGTGAATTATTCTTAATGAATTGTTGTATAGTATACTTAATTCATGTCGATCTTTACAAAAATGATTTATTTGTTATTTATGTGATATTTGATTATGTGTTAGTTGTCATTTTATGAGAAAACATGTCTTAAATGATTATATTTCATGTCTTATGTATTTGAGTTGTCGAAGATATGGTAAGAAGCATGATTTGTGTATTATATAATTTTTCTCCCAATTGTGTTTATGATTAAGAATTCAAATGTATAAAGAACTATGATGTTTAAGAGACATGATGCATTTATGCATTTTCATTAGGCATGGAATGGGAAAAAAATTGTTTTAAAAAGGCAATGAAATTGTTTAAAAAAGGCAATGAAATTGTTTTGAGAAAACGTTTTTGGAAAGTGTTTTTGAAAACCGGACACTTAGGAGGCGCCTAGTGGTCCGTGATTTTAATGTGATCTAGAGGGAAATAAAGAGAGACTCTAGTGTGATTGAGCTATGTAGGCCCAGATGACGCCATGGAGATGCCATGTGGTCGGGGAAAGCTAGTCAACCCTCCCTCGTGATGCCACATAGGTGCTATGGGTCAGATTGTATTAACGGTTTGGAACGGTGAAAAAGGAATTGTTTTGAAAAATGTGGAGCGACATTGGTATGACATTGCACTTCATTTACATATTTGGTGTATTTGTGCTACAATGACAATTATTTATAAGCTTGTAGTTGTGGTTGATGATGTGCATTCTCTATGACATGATCCCGTCTACTTTTTGCCTATTCTTTGCGTGGATTCACGGGGTCGTAGGAGATGTATCTTAGACACCTCCTACTGAGTTTATGATCACCCCATTATTTTAACATTTTTCAGGTTTGGGGAAAGAAAGGGCGAGCGACAGCCCATCGCAAATTAAGACTGGACTAGAACTCTTATTTTATTATCTTTTGTATAGAAAACATGATCATGTACCTTGAAAAAAAAAATTAAGTGTAACTTGTTTAGCGTTGTAAAGGTAGAATTTGTGTAAATAAATATATTTCATGGACTGTAACTTAATGTAATTAAAATGATTCCTTGTTTGAAGGAGATGGAGGAACAAGACATTTTGTTGATTTTGGGATGTATATTATTGCGTTGTGCGTTGGGACAGGATAGATTAATTTTGAGGCCAAGTGAGACCATTGCATTTTATATGTATTTCAGTAGGTCATAGTAGGACTTTTTCTGTAAAGGTCATGTCGAAATTTTAATTTTAATTTTTTTATTACTATTAATTTTTTTTTTGGTCGTTACATTTTCACAAAGCCATTAAACTTGAATTTGAGTTTGCATTTGCATTGTATCGGGAAATTTCCAGTTTTGGAGTATGTCTGCCGAATCATGCCTAGAAGGAACAATTCGAGTTTGAAGACCAAATGAACAAAAGAAGGAAAGGGTATGTTTATCCAATTACCAAAAAAAAAAAAAAAAAAAAAAAATAATAATAATAATAATAATAATAATAATAATAATTAAGAATTAAAATTAATTTTATTATAAGGATATTTACATAATAAATAATCAAATGATCACTTATAAGAATTTAAGTTTAGATTCGGTGAGTATTCATCTTTTCTTAATATTTTGGTCACTAAAATCTAATTTTCCCAAAATGTAAATCTACTTTCAAACGTGCACAATGTTCACCATAATTTTTGGTATGCTTGAACTTGTTGTACCTAGCTCTTGCCTGAGGTCACTAGTGACACCATTTGCTTAAAAAAAATGAGCTATGGCTCAATGATCCAAATTTTCAATTAGACAAATTGTGGGCACTTCTACTTCCACCTATCCCACCCAATTATAGGAACAACCAACCAGTTTTAATGTTTGATTGCTGAAGGGTTAAAAGTCAAGATTACCAATTAACATCTCCAACTATAGTCCCACAATATAAATAAGACAACAAAGATATTATGATGAAGATAACATTATAGAAAATATATATTTTGAAGTAACATAATTCATTCTTAAGATTATTGTAGAAGTGATATGGGTGAGAAGTTGAACTAACAATACACCACCCTTCCCACCAACCAAACCTCCTCATCATCTATTTAAACCCTTACATATGGAAACCTATGCATGCTCAATCAAGCTTGAAACCCTTTGCTTGAATCTCGAGGAACTTGTCATCTGATCTGCTCCAACAATGGCTCTTCACCAGCAGATATCCTTTCTCTTTCTGTTGACATTTGTCACTTTGTTATCGATTAATGGCAACACAATGCAAGGTGAGGCGCGACACCTTATGGAGATAACCTTGCCTGAGTTTCCTAAGCCTGAATTGCCACCACTTCCTCATGTTCCAACGATACCAAAGCCTGAGCTGCCACCATTGCCTGAGCTTCCCAAGCCTGAATTGCCAAAGCCTGAGCTACCAGCATTGCAAAAGCCTGAGTTTCCGACTCTGCCAAAGCCAAAAGTCCCAAAACTGCCTGAAATCCTAGCTTTACCCTATCTTCCTGAACTGCCGCAACCCACAATCCCTACCTTTCCAACCCTGCCTAAGGACTTGCATATTCCTTAATTTCCTCTCCCCACCACACTCAACCACTACTCCTTGAATCATGTTGTTCTTTATGATAGGAGAGTATTATTTCATTTCATAGTAAACATTTTTATAGATTTTATATTTGGTAATGTCTAATGTGTGCATGGGATGAGCTAATACTTGTTCTGTTACTTTCTTCCAGCTAGGGCAGATGGTTCATCTATTAATTATGTTCGTGTGTTTTGCTACTCCACTTTTTACCCACACCGACTTTCATTCTCTGTACTTTATACAAATATTCTCTATTTTTGACCGCACCTCAAATGCTCCTAGAAATTCACAGAATAACTATGACTAACTGTCATGATAATATTAAGGCAAAACATATAATTTTTTCTTTTCTTTTATCGATTTAGCAATGTTGAAACATATAAAGTGCTACTGTGCTAGTATGTCTTTTCTTTTCTTTATGGCAGTAGTGGGCATTGGTTAAGATGGTATGACCTCATCTTTTTTTAAGAAAGGTTGAGTATTCATGTCCTGTTGGGGATAATATTTTAGTAAATTGCGTGATTGCTTGAACTTTCAAAAGAAAAAAAAAACAAATAGTTTCGTAAGTTTATCATATAAGATTGGCTATCTCAGCTTCACTTAGTTGGGGCTAATTGAATTTTGTCATATACAACATAATTAAGAATGGATATCTCAATTGCACTTAGTTAGGGGTGCAAATCAATACATATATAAATATATTCTCAAGCTTTAATGAATACACTTGAACCACTAAAATGAAAGCAACTGAACTCTTACGTGGTGAGAGAAATAGGTCCACTTGTGCACTATCTAAATGGTGCACATCGACATATTATTCCTCGTCTACGGCAAGTGATGAGGCTTTGGTTGCTGATTTTGGTCATTTATGTCAACATATTATTATACCAATTCAGCTAAATCTCATGTCTCTTCAGAGTTGTGTTTCCTTACTTAATTCTATCGTATATCCCTCAAAGTTTTGAATTCTTCGTTTGTAACTCTAAAAACAATAGTCAGAAATTTAGAAAATAGAGAACAGTTTTTAAATAATAATAAAAGACAGTTCTCTAAAAACAAACCTTTTTATAACTGAGTTTTCATAAAACAGTTTTCAAAAAAAATGAACCAAGCAGAGTTTTTTTTGTATAATTTTCAATTTTCAGTTTTCTGAGAATAAAAAACTGTTTCCATAATTACAAACTAAGCAGACTTAAAATTCCATAAAAGTTGAATTTTTTTTTATTTTTTTATTGTTGCAACATTAAGGAGCTTCGATGACGATATATTGATGACGGTTTTTGTCGTTTGGCCATCATCCCACCAAGTCAAGTTTGGAGTGTGTGGATTCTAAGGCGAGGGCCGAGAGTTTTACATTTATAAAAGCCATTACTACATTCACTAAAAATATAGCAAGGGTGAGTAGGGATCGTCCCGAGGGATAGTGAGGATCGAACAAAGTCGTGGAATCGCTATTAGAGCTAGTAGGTCGAGTGATCAAACAATTGGTTGGTTGGTTGATTAAACTAGAGAGCAGATTAAACTAAATAATTGAATGCAATTAAGAATAAGTAAGAGAGAGAGAGATCTTGGGGTTTAGAGGTCACCACCAAGCAATGCATTTCTATATCATTGACAAGTGATTAATGAGGGAAAATGGTGTGTTGCAACATTGGTGTGTGTGTGTGTTTGGCTGATTCAACAAACAAGGATGACCAGTTAAGCATATATTATCTAAACATCATGTGAAAGGCATAATATATCTAAGCAATGAAGCATATATTGTCTAAACAACATATGAAAGGCCCAATAGATCAAAACAAGTCTTTAATCCTTTCATTAAGCTCACAATCTAAATACAACACAAGGTTAGAGACATATGCTACTTGTATTCAAAAGCTTGGATCATTAAACTACAAGCATAGATTGTCCTCCCATTTAACACTACACTACAACTACACTACTAGCATGAAAATAAACTAGGAGAGAGGCACAATCCATCAAGAAATAAGTATGAACTATCAAGAAAATCACAAGAGCATTCTTTTAAGTACTATGTCTTGACAATCTCCAAATCTATAGCATTAATACACATAGACATACATCAATAACTCAAAATCTAGAGGCGAACATATGAACATCTATTCTAGCATACATAGACATATGGATAGAATGAAATGATCAATTGGAAGCATTAAATCACATAAATCATTGAATAAACAAGATCTATACATATCAAAGTGTCAAAACATCAATTACAACACTAATCCCTCAATAATACACAAGATTAAGATATAAAAAGTATGCTTTGGGCTAACTCTAGCCCCAAGAGGATGTCAAGCCACTCATGGTGATGATGCTCTAACCCTCAAGGGCTAACTCCATGGTTGAAATCTGCTCCTTGTTGACGAAGAACTCCAATGGTGTCTCTAGCCTCCTCCTCTAAACTTCCTCTCCAAGAGATGATATAAAAATGATATGTGTCTCCCTTTGTAAAAAGCAATCCTTATCCTTATATAGGTAGGTCAAAATGACACCCAAAATGAGCTGGGGTCGTGCACACAATATTCTCTAATGATTGGATAAAGGACAACTTTCAATGAGATGGAAATTTAACTTTTTCGCACTGGAGGAAGTTCGATCGATCGAACCTTGGACTTGGATCGATCGAACTGGCTCAGATTCATCGAACTTAGGCTAGATCGATCCAACTGGTTGAGCTATTTGGGAAAAGACGAATCCGAGATATTTTGGGGAGATATTTTTGGGAAAAGGACAAAAGTGTTCGATCGATCGAAGGGTGGTGTTGGATCGATCGAACTTTTAGACTTTATACTTTTGGGCCAAGGCTTGGATCTATCTTGAAGTGCTGAGATCAATCATAGTTCGATCAATCGAACCTTGAACTTGGATCGATCAAACTTTGCTACTTCCCACCTTTGGCTTCATTTGCTTCCTTCTTTCCCCACTTTGCTCATTTCTTCATTTAATCCCAGAATTGCTTCAATTAAGTTCTTATTTGGCTGGGTTTGCTTATATTCGGGATAAGTGCCTGAAAATGGAAATAATATGAAATCAATCTAAAACGGTAAAGTAAGATAGATAAAGATACTAGAACGCTTAAGATTAAGGGGTTTAAATACGCACTTTTCAGCGCTCATCACACCCCCAAACTTAAATATTGCTAGTCCCTAGCAATGAACTAGAAAATAAAGGAATGAAATGAACAACTATATAACTATGAACTAGAAAATAATAAATGGATAACGCCACTTTCGTAGGGAACACGATTGCACTTAACATCTGCAACAAGCCTTTTAAACCCCTAGGTTACCCCTAGTAGACGAGTGAAGTCTCGTAAGGGTTTCCAGAAATGGTACCCACAAACATTAAGCTCTTTCTTTCAAAAGAGGCACCAATATTGCAAACAAGCATTGGGAGAAAACTACCTCAAGTATGCAATTTTTCAAACATTTCTAAGCAACCTCCCAAAATCTCAACATTAAGCAAGCAAGTATAGTCCTCCACACATCAAGAAAATGATTATGCAAATTAAAACAACTCTAGAATCCTTTTGAGTGGACCGGCATCAAATATGTTGCTATCTAAACCAATTAAAGAATTAATCACATCCTTATCCTCAAACTAGCACACAAATCTAGTACCGATCATCAAGACAAAAAATGGACCTATTATTAAAACTTTATTATTCTAGGTGCGCTTATTCTTTTCACTCGACTTTTTTTTTTTTTTTTTAGGATCAAAGATGGAAGCATGGTGCAATGTGTTGATCTATTAAGCTTTCTAGCGATCCATGAGGTTGAGTGTTAGGTCAATGTCTCCCAAACCAAACGACTTTAGGGCATTAGGCGTTCAAACACCCCTACAGACTTACAAGCTGAAATCAACTAGGCTACAAATCAAGACAACAACCATCTAATCATTTCCCACTTCTCACCTTTTGGAAGAAGTCCTCACTTTTTTATTGCCCTTTTTTTTTTTTTTTTTTTTTTTTTTTTGAATTCAATTATTAACCTAGAGTTTGGGCCCTCCACCTTTCGGCGTGAGAAATTCAATGCTAGATGAGGCTAGAATCCCGGCCACTTAGTGAAAAGGGGTTGTTATCCACCTTTATCAAGAATGAAAGTTTTCAATACACTACTAGCTCAATTGGGATATAACCAATTCAATAATCAACAAAGCATGTACCGCACAAATGAATGCTAGTGTGCGCCTGTGCTAGTGTAGAAGACTAGAGTGAATCTCAAAACAATCACAAAATCAGGATGATGTGGACCACAAGTGCAAGCAAGATATCAATATTTCGAAAAATTTACTCATAAATGGCATTCATAAGGCATACAAGGAGTATTGGACTCTCAAGTCAAGCAATTTTTAAAGTTTAAGCAATATAGTTCTCAAAAGATCAAAATTATCGCTAGATATGGACCAATAATAGAAATATCCCTCAAATACACAAGTCATGCTCAAAATTTTGAATTTAAAACTAACACTGTAAAACACCATTCCTCCCAAACTTAAATAGCACAATGTCCTCAATGTGCAAAGAAAACAAAGGAAAGAGTATACTAGTGCAATTAAGGCATAGAATGATCATGACTGAAGTATCCAAAGTGGGTGGCATGGCCCCCCTAAACTTGGGATGAACTGTGGTCCTGAAAATTGGCACTTGGATGAACTCATCAGATAACAAAATGGGATAATTGGTGCACAGTGGACATATAAGTGTAAATAGGATAAACAGATAAATAGATGAGAGAGGTATAAGGGTGGTCCTGAAAATTGGGTAGTACTCTCTCACTAAAGTCACTGTGATGCACCTGATGGAGTCAAACATATAAATATGAGAATATAATCATATGACATCCACAATAAAAATAGATATATATAAAATAGATAAGTACAGGTACAATAAAAATATCAAAGCCGACAGACCGGCTGTAAAAATAATAATGTGCAGTGACAAAAGTAAAGTATCAATAGGA